AAAGAGAAACCCCCACCCCACCCCAGTACCACTTTGTCCATCAGAAATTCCACATGGACTGACCTCGAAATGAACACAAGCCTCCGCTGTGAAAACCTAGCATCTAACTTCCAAAGCTATGGTACAGCTTATAGCACTTAGACACAAATAAACATATAATTAAAACATAAAGCTAAGTTTCCAATTTTCCTTAAATGTTTAGTCACACCAGAAGTGCCCAAGCATTTGTTACGACTGTATTTCAAAAAAGCCACCATCACATTTTGATGGCTTTATGTTCCAACATATACAAGAACATTCAACTACTGGGAAATGGGCATATTAAAAACAATTAGGTACGGCACATGTAAAACAGAGGTATGAAGCTACATTAACCCCTTGTATCGCTTACTTTTTCACTTCTTTTGCAATGCACATAAAACAGCCAATGGCTGCGCCTGTGAATCACTGGTATAGGCCAGCAGTTTCAAGAAATATTTGCTGTCTACATTCAGATTTTCAAAAATGTTGATCCAAACATTTTTAAAAAAAAAACTTACAAGTTTCAGCATTGGCTGTACTGGATATATTCAAAGTTCACAAAGAGAAACAAACCTCAGGACTGGAATGAAACTTGCCAGCATCTAGTCACGAAATTATTCAGTTACCCAAACTAAAAAGAGCTGGTCTACGTTCCGCTACGTTACACATATCTCTAATCTCGGCACTATATAGGAGTGAGCGGTTAGTTTCACACCCCGGCTGATTTACTAAGGAAAGAACTCTGGTAGCCACTGCAATAGAAGTTAGGTGGGCCCCAAAGCTGGTCTTGACATTGCAACAAAGGAATCACACCCCCAAGTTGTCAAGCGCATAACCTGATCACTACTGAGCTATCCCACCTATACAGTTAAGAGTACTAATCACATTCAAGCAAAATATTAATCATTTGAAGGCCAAATTTCATAATGCGGTGTACAGTGCATCCAAAAAGTCATAGTGCAGCTGCAGTTATGACCTGTAAGCCCTGGCAATACTGGTAGATCTTAAGTAAAACAAAATACTGCACAGTAACTTTTTGGATGCCCTGTAGTAGAAATCAAACAACACAGTACTCGGTACCCTGAAACTTCACGCTATCTACTGAAACAAGACTGGAAAGGTACGATCTGCAATGAAATAAGTTTCCAGACATTCTTTGTACATTGGCATTCTGAATGCTCCTGGCTGTTCCACATAGGTTGGTGTCATTCGCAATATTACGCACAACTTCAAACACACTGTTTATATAGACCCTTTGAATAACGTAAATGTTTTCGATTTCATTAATATAATTTTAAAATGTTTATTTATTCAACTGACTATGGAAGTGTCAATGTATAGAAGCCTATTCATGAAGTGTCTGATGAGTAAACAGAAATAATATATAACCATTTACTCACAAACAAAATGACAATTTGCCATCTTTAAAAAGACTTCACATAATATGGGAATCATTTCAGTGCAATTAATGAATTATTAAATACTTATAAATTAACTCTTACCTCCTTTATCTTCATATAAAAAATGAAGCACACTGCAATCCATTTTACATATTTTCCACTATTATTATCACTAGAAATACATGAACATAAGTATTAAACATTCTGTTTGTTCTATCAACTGTGCAGATCAAGTTACTTATGAATAGATTCTGTCTAGCATAAAAAAACTTATCATACATAACTTCAAGAATTCCTACCGTCACCAGTTTGTGATGGTTGTCTTATAAACAATACTGCATACAGATCTGTGGGCATATTTATGATCTATACAAATAACAAATTTCAAATACCAAAAGATAAATATCATTTCAGATGAAATTTCATGAAAGGCCACAGTTCTCGAGTTAGACACGGCCAGCCCTATACGCAATCATTTTATGCACAGCACACAAAGAACCTATAAAATACAACATCTAATAGCATGAAATGTAGCTATAAGATGGCATGACTGACATTTTACTCTTTTACAGAGGGCGAAGGGACATCTTGTAACCTTAATGAATAAATAGTTGCATCAGGGTCTATGAGTTTGCATTAGATCAGGCCATGAAATATTTAACATTTAGAGGACTATGAACATACCCATGCATTCATGTATCGACACAAAAATGTCAGTCTTCAGGTGTTTTTGTCCAAAATGAGATCTCCAAAATTTATCTTGGCCTGGCCCCAATAAAAATTGGTACCTAATACAAGATCACTGTTAAGTCCATGACCTAGAACAGAAAAGAACTGTCCTCACAGGGTCAATATCTGAAAATTAAGAATTTGGACTCGCATTACTAGTAAGTCTGCAGACTATGCAAAATGATTAAATACTTTTTAAAAATAGGCATATGTATGTTAGTAGGACTAATGAATCAGTGCTACATTTAAGAACAGTTAAAAAATAAATTTCAAAATGTGTTTAAGGTTGAACTAGCAAGTTTCAAAGTTACTTTCAGAAAGAACAGGGTGGGAGATTGCAAATCAAATGCAGGAGGAACTTTATGTAAGAAAAATTTAAAAAAAAGAAAAGCGTGTGATATTATTATTTACCCTCCACTCTTCAACGTAGAATAGTAAGTGGTATGTAATATCATGTTCATGCCTATGTACAACCATTATATTCTATTTTTAGAACAGTGTATTTTAAAATGCCAAACAATAACCATTACTCACAAATCCCATTATCAGTGTCCATTGCACACCATTAAAGAAATGAATAAAGGTATAATACCTTCTGCGGGTGTGAAATAGCCACATTTGCAGTCTAGTCCATGATGGAAGCACTGTAATATTAATGGACATAAATAGTCAAAAGTAGATGTAAGCATGAACAAAAAGAAACATGCATATAAAATATGGAATGGATAACCTGAAGGAAAGAGATCAATTGGGAGACTCAGGCATATCAAAAAATAAAATAAGATTAAAATTACTAAAAAGAAATGAAACACGTGTATGACACAAGTGGCTAAGAATAGGATACAATGTTAGGCTTCTTATGAAGCCTTGAGCTCCATGAAATGAGAAATCTGAACAGCTGAGTAACTGCCAACTATTCAAGAAAGATCATATATAGTGTAGTTAGTTATAATGTATTAATATTATTAAGCTATGTAAGTTTGCAATGGAATTACTTCATTTAACTCACCCATGTCCAATGCAGAAGATGCATTTAACATCACAATTCACAAATGATACTATAAACCACAAAGAATTAAGAAACAACTTAAAATTACAATAAGCAGCTTGCATCTTTTGATTCCAAATGCAGATGATCAGAAAAATGTCAGCAGTCACTAATGTTCAGAGATGGTTCTAATGCTAGTATCTAAACAACTTCAACGGGAAGTTCTGTGGTCATATGCAAATGATATGAGATATTTTATTTTGTCGTTGAGAATGTAAATTACAGGAAGAAGCACTCTTTTTACTGTCCATATTCTATCATGTTATATTTATCTTAAGAATGTATCTACAAGAGTTCTTGATTAGCATCTTGAACAACGAACCGCTGAGAGAGGAGGAAACAGCACACAATTCTATGTAGCAGTGAAGATCAATTATGAAGGAAGGAATAGAGGTACAGAAAGAGAGAGGTTTCCTACCACAATGGTAATTTGAAAACCAGTTCAATACAGAAATAATTCTTGCAAAAATCACATTTTTTGTCAGCGTTTGTTGTAACAAATGTCGAACATTTTTAGGTACCTTGGGAGAACAAAACACAAAATACTGGGACTTTATTGTAAATGTAAACTATGTTGTTATGGTGTAAATATAAAAATGCGTAACAGCTCACTAGGAAATATCCCAGTGGTAGAAAAGTCCCAGATATACTCATGTGGTGGTTGCATGAATCTTCGGATGGAATGTATGAACTTGCTTACAAGAACTCATTGTTTGTAAGAAAGACTTCACTCACAGAGCAGCATGTCAATTGTTACGTGAGGAGAAAGTTTACAACACAAACACAGTTACAGGAAGAATAGATATATGAAAATAGTTTTCTGTACTGGATACCAGGCAATATCTACTGAATATCAAATTATTAAATGGGACCTGATATCAGATTCATCTGCCTATATTGCAATATCAAAACTTTACTACCTTCTTTTATTCAAATTACTTCTCCACAATTCAACAAATTATAAGAACCAAAATGACAGCTACATTATGATGCCACCAACATAACATTCTACCACAAACATCAGCAATTTCACCTTCCTAAGCTGGTAGCAAACAAGACAACCAAATTAAAATGTTGTAAAAAATATGAATAGCTTATATATAGATATATTACATATTACACAGGAAATAAAATTTTGATATGGCTAAGACATTTAAAATTGTCTGGCATACCTAACAGCTATGCAACATTTTCATTCTGCATAATCTATGTGCTGGGATGTCCAAAATTATGCAATGAAATGGGCTGCTTTTGGCATAACATTTTGACCACCCCAGCTACCTCTAGTAAAAGGATATTTTATCCCTTGTCCTGCCAATGAATAGTAGTTATGAAATTAAAATAAACCTTGACGTGATGTTTCAAACATGCCACACTTCCCACTCACTGTCTCTTAATTCTACTATCTTAAAATGATCTATTTCTCCTACCATTCTGCATTTTCACCTTTCCTCAGCCATAATGAGGCAATCCCATCAAAGAGAAAATAAAACAGGAAATATCTACTGGAATGATTCCATGCCGATATGTAGTTACGATAGTTCTTATTCTTCAAAACAAGCATCCATATTAATACAAATTAGGCTACAATCACTTGTTTAGATGTGAAGCAGAAAAAACATCTTGATTAGAACCTGTGTTTTATGCCAAACAGTAGAAAATAATTCCATACACTTACATGGTACGAATACTACCAATTCTTGCTCTTTCTTCAGACTGTTATCACATTTAAGAAAAATATAAATTCTTAATCAATTATTCAATATATCTATTGTCGCTACCACTTACACCATATTTTTTTTTTTGACAGGGACAAACTTGCACTTTTATGTAATACTTGGCACAACCAAGCATCATTTTGTAACATTTATCTATGTTGGTTCAGCTGCTTCCACATTCTTGCCATCACCAGACAAGTAGTAGTTGTAAACAAATACAGAAAGGAAATGCAAAATTTTCACATGCTTTGGTAACTATATGTTATACTACTACTAGTGTGTGTGTATCCTTATCTGCTGTATCACTGACAATAATCACAGCACCATTCAAGAACAAGCTCTGAAACATTAATTCAATAAACACGCAATGAAATCATGAGATGTATAAATCCCACAAACGATAACTTACCCTAAATAAACCCTTGCTTACTAAAATTAAATTCTAAACAGTCATTAAAGACACTGCTTTTAAAGTAGTTTGTAGTTACAGACCTTGACACAAGAATGGTAATAAGACAGAAGAAGAAAAGTATTTGAAGTACATTTTAATTTTGTAAAACGTGGTCTTCATTAAGACAAGTGAATGCGTTCTGCTATCTGTAACTAAATGAGCGTTACGGACAAGTACAAGTAGCATAGTGAGTTCAGTTTCTAACAGTGGATTGTATTTACCTTTGTCATGAAAGATGCTGCATGTGCACTTTCTGTGAAAACTGAGGAGCAGTGCCTGATTCTAATTTCAAATTTAAGTCTCATGCACAAATAATCTGCACAAGTATTTTTAGATACTATTAAACACAATGGCTGTTTGAATGTGTGGAATGAGGTACCCCATCCATCTACTTGAAGACCCCAAGATGAGTCAGCCTAGGATAAGGACTAGTTTTATCTAACAAAGGGTCCCCTTTCATTATACTTCAAGATGAAGATAGAGCCAACCCTCAAAACACTGCATACACCAATTCTAAATGGCTCTGTTGATGATATATCACTTACTGGGTCTCAGGACTCTATTGTACAGTATTCTGAACAGAATAAAACCTTTCATCTGGTGAAAAGGTGGGAGTACCTCTCATCTGGGTCTGTTAGGTAGTCCAATGATTCAGACTAGCTACAATGGACGCAACCGAGTTAAAACTCAAAACTCTTTTTTTACCTGAGGATGAAAACAGATCCAGTTTCCAAAATGATGTGTTCTATTTGGAATACTTGACAACATATTTTATAATAAGACAATGGACACTGTCCAAAAGTTCTTCCACAACAAAACTTTTGTGATTACTTGTGCAATAACATCTCCTGAAATACGTTTGTTCACAGTCTTTTGCATTCCCTTCCATCAACTCATTGTACTACCACTATTAACACATTAATAAGTATGCAGTAGACTCCATGATGTCCTAACAAGGGGATCCAGTCTATTATTACCCTGAGATCTGGCTCTGGTTTTGCAGTCTGGCAGTGGACCTTCCTCTGACTTCCCAGCAAAAATATTAGGTGTCAGTATTCCACTGTTTCTTTTGTAACACAATTTTATGTTTGCATTCTTTATTGTTACTTCATATCTCATAAGAGAGGCATCTTTTCACAGATTGTGGAAGCTCGGCTAGTATCGTGCTTGCTTACAGTATTGGAGACCAGGTTCAATTCACTGTTACATTTTTTTTTAAAATCACCATGTTTGTAATGGATTTGGAAGATGTGAAATTTAACATTCTTTACAAGTCCACATTCATCCATTCATTTTGTTTCTTCCTGTATACGCATCTGACAATGAGAGGAACCCAGTTAGCTCCTCAATGCAAAGGATTGCAAATACACCAATATCTTACAAGAGTGAAACTTTATACATCATCAGAATAGCTTCAGACACATCAAACTAGTATAACGGGATTGAAGGATTCTGAACAGTACTCGTCCTAAACGTATAGAAAAAAACAACAATTTTCAACATCAAAACATCTAATGAATGTTTGCTTGCTGCACATGCATTTTGCAGAATTTTCTTCAGCCAGAAACCTTGGTTTACACTGCAGAAGTCGTGTGACTTTATTAGTTTTGGCAGCGCGCCATTCATACCTGATCATACTTTGGTGTGTAAACCTTCATTCTTGTACGATATTGGTGTATTTTCAACCTTTCACACAGTGCAACCAACTTTGCTCTTCATGATCTCAAATGCGAATGAAGGAAGAAAGAAAATTAATGCAAAGACTTTAAACAAATCATGACCTCCAAAGCCATTACAGACATGGTGAAAAAACCAACTAGGAATTGAATCTGGCTTGCTTGCACCATAGGAAATCATGCCAACAAACCTTTTGCGGTCAATAAAAAAACACGCCCTTTTATGACACTTATGAAGCACCATGTAGTCTGCTATAAGTTTACACGGCACTACAAACTGGAAGACAGTCATCTTCATACACATTGCCATAAGAACCACAAATCCTACTTAATAGCAAACATGAAAGATAAGAGTGTATTTTTTACAAAGAAACAGTGACGTGCTGACACCTAATATTTTGGTCAGAAGTCGGAGGCTGACCTTCTGCCATACTGTAAAATCAGAGCTGAATCAGAGGATTAACAATAACTGGGTACCTTATAAGTCTAAAGAATTCTGCTTGCAAATACACATATATTTGCTCACATTTGTTTCTAAACATTATTTTTGGGGCAGATTTTATTCAACGAACATTTCTGAGAACCCAAAATTAAATACCAACATACTTTATTTCCTTGATTCTGCTACACCTTGCAGAATCAATCAGATGGTTGTGCCAAGTGAACAGTATCTCACACCATATTTTGGCTGTGTTGAAGTGTTCATAGGGGGCAAAAAACAAGTCCCTCTTCCTTCAGGCAGAGCCAATTTTGTACAGGTAAAGAGAAACAGGTATATATACTGCATTTATCATTCATTTGGCAACTGAATTTCAAAGGGGGGGAAAAATATGTAATTGATAGTGTTTTGAAAGTACCATTAGTATAACTTCTACACACGACGTAAATTTAAGGACTTTTCTTATTTCTTTGTTGGGAGTTCCATTTGCATGAACATTAGAAAGTTTTGTCTCTATTATACCATTTCCACAGAAAACAAAATTGTACATATTACTACAGTATGGACTCGCGTTCTTGTTCTGTCCACTCATAACACAAGAAGAGGATCTTGACTGCAATCACTTCTGACATCACATTCGTGTCCAATCACTTCACACTCTCAAGTTTCATTAAAAGCCATCTGGAGGAAATTAAAAAAAAAAGTATCAGCATTCACTGCAGTTATATCCATTGTGGCCATCAACAAGTTTTTAATAAGAAAGGTCTTCTTCCATTAAGCTTCCAGCTTCCTAATACCACCTGTTCATTATATATTGTAAAGAGGAGAACCGTCATCATCGACTACACACTGATGATGTCCCCCCTCCCCCTCCCAAAATGAAGACAAAACCTCTTTACACATACTTATTTTTTCAATTCTCAGCTCTAATTGAAGGTTGTCATAAGTTTCCAATCCACCACCAATAATGGACCAAAGGTAACACCGTCATTCATACACACATACACAAAAATTGCAACTATCAAAAAGTTTTGATGTGCCCCTGTAGGATCAAAAAATAATGATAATAAGAGTTTGGGGATGAGGTGTCCGAGGGTATGCTAGTTGGTGAGGGTTGGTTTTGTACTACTGCCTTCAGTCCCCTGGGTCGCAGGGGAAAAAGACAGATGAACAGTTAATATATACTTCAGGGTAGAATGCATTTTCCATACGGCTCTTATTTTGCTGGGCAAGTGTTGCCAAAGTATTTACCTTCAACATACAGCAGCAAATGTTTTAACATCTTCACTGTAATCAATTTTATTCAAGTGGTTCTCTCTTGCTGGGATCATGTATACTCAATTCAAATTCTGCAATATTATTGTGTGGATACAAATTCAGCACTTTTAAAAATTTCTCCGTAAGCTTCAAACCATATTTTTGAAATAGTTTAACTATGTAATGTCACATTTCGCCACAACAAATTACATAAAAAGCATCTGAACCTACAATCTGTTGTTTGTTTCATGGCAACCATAAAACATTAGCAACCTGAATCCTTTGAAGACAAGTGGGAACTATGAAGAATTCTGTCTTCTGGGTTGTTGCGCTGTGTAGGCTGGTAGATTTCCACCAACGTTTCTGACGTTCATCGCCCTGATGACGGAGGGAGTATGACCTCGGAAACGGTAAACACCTACCAGACTACACGGCGCAAGAACCCAGAAGACAGAAATCTTCATACTCACCGGTGAAAACCTCAAATCTTACATGTGGGAACTATACATGCCAGCTGCTTTTAACAATGAGTAACTGCGTATTTTGTATTTGTGGGTCTAGTAAACATGAATTATTTCCTTTAACAGCATTAACCCATTAATCTTTGCAATGGTGAAGTATTTTCCTTGATGTACAAACAATTCTTAAATATTTAGTTTGTGACAGCGATAATTAAATCTAAATGTATGTGATTCCTCGGGTAGCATCAAAACAAATGCTAAAAACCTTTCAGTATTGCAGAAGTAAATACGGTACTTATAACAAAAGCAGTGAGAACGTTAAAATCCTTACCATTTATCAATTATATACCTCAGACATGCTAATTCCAAGCTACAGCATAAATTTTGAAGCTTCTGAAATAATTTACATAATGTTATTAAGTCACATTCCAGCCATGTAAGAAAAATAAAACATCAATAACATCATAAATTCTTACAGCTGCATCACTCAAACCAGCATTAAGTTTCTGAACAATGAAAATAATACACTAATTGAGCAACAATCAAAACAGACCATAAATGAAAACGGCGCACATGGCTTTAAACCGTAGTGCAAGAATTTGACATGTATCTACTACATGTACCAGTAAAATTTTTTTATAAGAATTCGATGAAAGCAAATGTCTCTGTGCCAAACACAATTTTCTCTTATCTGTGCTACAGAAGTAAAATAAAAACAAAAATGAACTACATTTCAATCTACACAAATTTACCATCCCTTAAAATAACACGACACATTGATTGTAAAACCTTGGTCATTTTAGTATAGTCTTTTAACACAGGCTTTAGGATCACAGGATAAGAAGGGTTCCAGTATTATGCCGTATCTAATAGCCTCTTCAAAATCAAAACTGCGGACAGGGTCAAGCTATGCTTCATTATTGCACTACTGTGTAGCAAAGTTTACCATGCTAGCAAATATGGCTGTTCCACATAAAATACCTTTAATTAATGTAACAAACAGCCATTGCCAGTCTTTGCATTACCCACAAGAAGTGGTATGACTTCAAAATAAAGAAAAATTAACTGCCCAATCAAAATATGGAAAATTTACCCACTGCTTAAGAGTAGTTCACAACTTCATGCTCTGTAGCATGAAATTAACATTCTGAAACCATTTGCTTATGTATTATCTTTTCCCATCCAATTTCAAAATCATTCAGCACTCTTAATAAAACGATGACCTTCAGGGTTGTCAGCCGTGTCAGCTGAGCTGGTGAAGAAGCTGCCATTCCAAGATTTATGCTGTTTTCAAAATGTTGGCAGTTTCTTCATCAGCTCTACTGACACGGCTGACAACCTGAAAGTCTCATTACTACAAATGCCATGAAAACTTTAAATTTGGATATTGAACACTCTTATTCTACTGGGTCTAATATCAAGACAAACACAACATTAAATTCCGCTACAAGTTCAGCTATTTGCGATCACTTCTGCCATCTCCTTGCTGTAATTTAAATATATTTAAAGTCTGTTTATAAGCAACATGAATTTGCCAATGGAAAATTTCACTCTATTAATAAAAACAGTTTATAAGTTTGAATTTTGCCAAATTAATTTAGATTAGAATTCCATAATAAAAAGGAGAGGGAGGGGTAAGGGATAGATCTGTAATATATTTGAACAAACTAAAAATGTTCTTGCTCTGTCTCTGTTAAAATTGCCTTTGGTGAGTGGGCAAGCATTTTTCTGGAGCCGTGAGAACAAGATATATAAAACATTAGCTCCAACTGAACATGCAAGACATTACAAAAACATGTATCAGTATTATGGAATCCACTCACCCAGCAGAATTAAAGATCTACTTTTGGAAAACAGAGGCCAAATCCTCAGAATGTGGACAAGTGATGGAGAAAATGGAAGTTAGTAGGAAATGCAGTGGCACATCCAACAACGTTCAGTGGGGAGTTTTGTTTGTACTTGTTTGCAATAGCAGTAGTAAAAAAAAGCACTTCCATCCCACCTTTCTATGTTAGGTCGAGTCACTGATAAAAGTTTTCTCTCTTGTTATGTTCTACCATTAAACCAATAATAAATGTAAGATTTAATGGATCTTGACATATTTGTTCTGCTGCTCTGATAATTCCTTCTAGAAATTCTTCATTTTCCATGATCTTTATGGTTCTCTGGGTGAAGACTATCCCAGGAGGAGATGCTGGGGTTACTGATCTCAGTGATTACTTCATCTTTCCAGACACAACAACTTGGTGTTAGTGCACCTCAGATGATTCGGGCTTCTGCGAATGATGATTAGATGGGTCTGGAGTGCTGAGAGGGGGCTACAAATAGAAAGATCGCCAAATATACATCTGCAGTTTTAATATTATCAGTTCTAGTTCTGGTGCATTTGCAGCATTACTTAGTATAATAGGCAAGGGCCTAAATGACATATAAGTTTCAAAGTATGTCCACAGCTTTACTGAAAAACATTAACATCCTCTGACCATCTGCCACACTATATGAGTCTGTTTCCACACAATACAAACACCATCTCCTTGTTCTATAAAAGGCATTCTTTAATGAATAATTTATTAAATAAACATTTAAAGACACGTGGACACAACCTCCTCAAAATGCATTCATGTTACAGACATCATGCAATGAACATATAAAATAAGAGTCATGTACATATTACATAATGTGAATGTAAACCTTCTCAAAACAATAGTTGCTTCTATAAATTTCTAATAACCTTGGTGATTAAGCTGGTGGGATGGTGTTGCCCCCCAGTACCACAACCACCGTATAAGCAGGAACCAGAAGTCTGAATTTTACTAATTACTTCAAACAAACAATTGAGAAAAGAAGCATAATTTGCAGGGATTTAAGAAAACCAATGACGAGAATACAATCGACAGCAGTGCAAACGCCTGGGATTAAATAAGCTCTTACTGCATGGAGGAAGAAGATATGACCTGAATGTGTTGCCAATTTCACTGCACTTCAAGAAGACACCCAAGAAAATGCAGGAAAGGATTGCTAAGTTGGGCTTGGAATTGAGCGCTTCCTAACGTTACAGAACTGACGGAGGCATACGTTAAAGAGCTGATCACTTAAAACCTGTTTCAACTGGGTGTCACAGGAGTCACCTAATTAAGAGGCAGAGTAGAGGAAGCTTTGCTACTGACGGATTTTTCCTAGCATTGGGAGGCAACAAAGGAGCATCTACCTGAAAAGAGAATGCATAGATCCTCCAAGGTAATTAGGGATGAGAAAGTTGATCTTCATTACTATGAGTCATAAATGACAGAAAGAAGGCTAGGATGCAAACAACACTAGATTCCTCTTGCAAGAAGGACGATGCCTCCAGATAAACGGCCCTTAACTTCTGGATTTAAGTTCCTGAAATGTACGTGGAGGGCAATTCACCCTTCAAGGAACAAACTGATATGCACACTGTATCCTTAAATCAATAAAATTATTGGAAACCTAATCTTTACCTGTATTTAATTTTCAAGTTTATAATTTTACTGGAATGAATCATCATTATAACATGAAGGTCTACTATTCCATATCCAACAGGAAATGATGGGTATTGAGGGCCCACTGTACCTGGGAAAAGTGAAATTTGGAATAGAGCTCGACAGCATACTAACAAATTCTGTTACAACATATGCATGTTAAAACATGGTGGCACAGAGCAGAATTTTTAAGTTATATATGAGTGCACTGTACTTACTATGCTATGTTGTAATCCAGCAACTGCACCTGCAGCTCCGCCTGGTGCGGTTCCAGCACCCCCTCCTCCAGCTGCCACTGAATGGGGTACCTGGTCATGAGGTGTGGTAGAATGGGCTTGCTGAACAGGAAGGGCACCTGCATAGTAACCTCCATTAATTCCTTCAGGATAGCTTGTAGTGCTGAGGAAGTATTCCTTATTCACACAGTTACGAAGACAATCAGGGATCCTGCCCACGATGGCACGCCGTATCTCACTTGCTGCCATTTCACGAAGCTCTGTGCACGAAGCATCAGAGTAGAAAGCAGCGTGAGGTGTGCAGAGAAGATTTGGAGCATCCTTTAATGGACCTACAAGCACAACATTCTTTTAACTTTTAGGCCAAGAAGTATCAAATGGTATGATGGTCTGTGAATGGTACAATGGAAGGATTATGCAAGGAGGCAGTCATATTTTAAGGCACTATTTCAGTATTTAATTAGAGGAACTGAGGAATATGAAAAACTTGTCAGGCCACTGGGCAGACATTTGAACCTATAATCTTCTGAATATTAAGCTTAAATACTAACCAATAAACTATTATACTTTTTAGAATTAATTGAAACTGCTCCATCAGATACAAAAATGTAACAATCTTCAGAGGCTTACAAGGCACATTCCAAGAGTATATTCCCGTATCTTCATGTTACTAACAATTTCACACCATAAGTTAACGTGCTCTGATTTAATTTAATGTTTCTGTTGCAAGTCTTAACTCCCTCTCACTTGCAAATGCTAGTCTTGAAGAACTTTCCCATCCCCACCCACCAAAAAATGCATAAGTTAATTTTAAACTTGATTACAAAATCACTAATTGTAATTATCAAATATGCCCAAGAGAGTGCCTTTATAAATAAATAGCCCTGGCCACCTTTACCTACAAAAGTCTATGCACTAAGGAATGTATACCCCATAAACACCCAAGAACCTCACAGACAAAAAATCTGTCTCCTGGTCACAAGTTTCACAAAGATTAGCACCAGACAGAAATTTTTTGAAAAATGTATCTTTGACTGCATTTCTGAAAATGTCGCATACCACACATAAATCATAATAGGGGCAGCTGCTTAATTAGGCCAAAGTGCTCTAGTCTCGATGTGTCCCAATTAACCAGGATCCAGTTTTGGCTGTCACAGATTGTTATAATTACATTGAACATGGCATTACAGATTACCCGAACAAAAAATAGGTAAGATATGCCAAATATATGCCCCCAAATCCTTTGGTCAAGTGATATGATTTGTTAGTAGTTGAAAAGTGTTCTGGTAAAGCATTGTGATGCCTGCATAGTGAAACTAATATGCATTTCCATAAAAATTTGATACCATATTACGCCTTATGGCAACTAAAACAGCTTAGTTAAAAGATGCACTCCGGAGCAAGTGCATGGTGTCTACCCATGTATATAACTGTATGCAGAGATGGCTAAACTGGGAAAAACACTGATTTAAGAAACATCAGATTAGGACTCCATGTAATTCTTATGTGGATCAGATCAATATGAGAACATGGCGTGCACTCCGCTAAATTATGTGCATCATTTTATTACCACTGACAACTGAAATACCTTGGAACACATTATATGGTTCATTCTCATGCACATCCAAAGCCGCTGCTCGGATGCGTCCTTGCTTGAGAGCAGCAGCTAAAGAGTCGTCATCCACCAGGCCACCTCGTGCTGTGTTCACTAAAAATGCTCCTGTCAATAAAAAACCAAATGATTAAGATAAAGAAGCATATGACCTCTCGCAAAAAAAATGTTCAAGATGTATAATTAAGTACAATTCATATGGAAGGGGCAGATTTCAAAAGATCAAAAACTGCAACAATATGAAACACAGAAAATTAAGCACAGAACTGTGCATAAAATTATTCAAGAGGCTGCTGAACACTTCATCCGATAAACAACGCTTCTGTGGTTTTAAAATGAGGACAAGATGTGAAAAAACTAGACCACAATGCTTTCAGACTTGAAAATTAATCTGCCACACACACAGGGCAGTAGTACAACTTTGTCCTGGCAGACCATAAAACATCACAATCCAACAGACTGACTGCAAGACATTTTGTAAAAGGAATTCCTCCATCAGAAAAGGTAAAGCCCAAGGACAACTGGAAAAACAAAATAAATCTCTTTTATACAAATACTAAAGAGCAGGTCTTTACTTTTATTTCAAAATTTACCACACCAGAGTAAATGTATAGTACAAACAAGTCAAGATAATAACTGTGCTGCAATAAATATCAGCCTTCTTAACACCTCATGCAATGTGTTAACGATGGGGGGGGGATGTATAGGGTTGAAGAACTATTGCAGTAGTACAACCAACATCAATATTGTACAAATTCAAAAGCATGTTGTTGTTTTTTAAGTTATTTTTATGAACAGTGTGTGTAGACTTTCATAAGAAAACCTTCAGAAAGTTCATATTAAATACGTATTAGCAGAAGTCCCCACATTAAAGTAAAAATCACATAACATTATTGAGGTTGCCTTGACAACGGACCTGGAAGAACAAAATCTTAAATCCACTTTAACATTCAATGAAAGATGTCATTTTTAAGAACTTTCAAATGAACAGAGTTTAAAAATACCAAAAAAAAAAAAGGCAATGTTGAATTACATGTAAATAAGCCCCTATCATGGCAGCAACGTAACTATGCATTCTCTTTTTCTCATTTATTTTAAGAAACAAGGTTTACATACCATTGTGCACTGTCAGAACACATCAGCAGCAGGATGATTTAATGTCTACATTAATATAATTTCTTAGTTAACCTTTATAATTTGTGCACAGCTTACATGTGATCCAGCTGGCCATGCATCTCATTAAATCAGTAATATAGGAGCTAAGTCGGACCAGTAGTCCGATAATACAAGGGATATAACAGCTATAATCTCAATGATGAAGGTTAATGAAATTAAATTATGATCATGAAAAACTATGTACTACCTGGCCTCATCTGCTTGATGGTGAATTCATTGATAAGGTGATGGTTATGTTCGTTGAGTGTGCAGTGCAGTGAAACACAGTCTGACTGGAACAACAAGTCCTGAGGGCAGAAAACAACACCAAAATTATATGCGCAGAGAGAATGCAGAACAAATCAAGGTTAAAATTTAATAACAGATTTCAATGTCTCAAACACCTCTGAAAACAAGTGTTAATATTCAGCATGGTACATCTAGCACAGCTACACAATTCTCAGTAAAATAGAATACTTTAACTAAGATCCTGGTTCTACAGATTGCTATAATTTGCTCTTGAATTATTCCATGTGATAAAAATTTATTTCAAACATTGATCTGCTAATTCTCATGTTTTCTACAGGAATTCATTCTTAAAGTTTACAAAATTTGTGTCTGTTGATTTTATTTTCCAGCCTTTCTTCCATAGCAAAACATCTCCAAAGGTACAGAAACCAAAGAAAATAATAACAGCTATTAATAAGGTAACCTTGAGTACTAAAACAGACAGAGATAAAACTCACCTGCAATGTATAGACTCGAGTCAGACCAAGTGATTTTTCAATTCCATCAGGCAAGTAAGGATCATAGAAAATAACATTGAAACCAAAGACCTTGGCTCGAAGAGCCACTGCAGATCCAATGCGACCTAACAAGAAGAAATAATTGGAGTCAATACAAAATACTTTATTAAGGCAACACAAACACCCCTTTTTATATAAAAGGGTGTTAGTGTTGCATAAGAAAATATCAGAACCCAACAAACATACATGCCACAAAATGGAAGAGTCTATGGTAATATTACAGACCCAACTATTTCCTTATGGAAGACAATTTTGGCTTTGAAAAATACTGACTAAATCCCACAACTACACATATCAAAACTGTTGCACAAATTATGCTGGCGGACCCCCCCCCTGGCATTGAAAATTTCTGGCAGAAAGCCCATCGGATATAGAAGACCTAATTTAAATTATATGCAAACAAAACCCTTTTGGTTTTGGAGAATACAAGCACAGCTCCACCATTAGGTGGCATTTTTGCCCAGAGTCTCAATGGGCTTTGAAATGCTGAGAGAATACCACAATTAAACACATTACAGGCGTGCTTTCTTACTATTTCTAACCGTGGAACATTGCAATATTAAAAATACAGACATGACACCACCATTTAATACACTGGAGCTGTGTTACATTATTTGCCCAAAGAATCATTCTTGCTTTGGAAATAAAGACAGAACCCCATAATTAGATACATTAGAATTGTTTCCTTGATACACCACATGCGTTTCTCAAACTTTTTACTTACAGAACCATTCTGGTTAGGAAAAGCAATGATATAAACCCACCATTCAACACGCTACTGCCATGTTTCTTGCAGGTAAATAACATATAAAATATATAGTTAGTAACTACAATAATGGATTAAAACCTTTGCTTTGTACTTGATTCAAACAGTTTTCTGGCTGAAGTCTATTTCAGAAATTCTCCCCCTGTACTTCCCTCTCTTCAAGCCCACCAAAAGACGAGGCCACGGAGCTGACAAGACTGACCCAGCATGTACATTCTGCCTTTGTCCTCATTCATTACTTTAAATGCCACCTTTCTACTTTCACTACCTTGTCAAAATAAAATTTTAACCATTATTCAGCTTTTTCCGAGACACCTGACACACTAAAATTAGCAATGGTAACCCAATTTTGGGTCACGACCGAGGGGTTAAAACCACTGGTCTCACGGAACAGTACAAGCCAAGACAGAAAACACACATACAAGATATTCAGATAAGGAAGAGAGCAAAATAAAAGTCTGTTATGGGTGAATAAAATGGTTAACAAGAGTCTAACTGGATAAATGATAACATTGCAGGATATAAAAAATTAGAAGTAAGGGTATAGAGGGGGTATAGCTCCCACTCATTCTTGACCTCGGCAGTAGATGGAGGTGAGTGGTCAACATCATGCCCCGGCCGCGCTTTACCCCAGGGAATGTACTCCGGTTTTATAAATGGATGTTAAAATAAACGTACACTTTGTAACACATGTGACAATCACATACAATACTGCTTCCATTAATCAGTTATGCAATGGCATAAAATGTAGTACAATTCGATTCATATCACTTACCAAGTCCAACAATACCAAGAGTATCTCCACGTATTCTGGCACAGCCCTGAGCTGCCTCTCGGACTTGCTCAGGGCCCGTAAATTTCTTGCCTTCTCGAACCATGTTGGCTAGCCAGTATGTACGACGATATAAGTTGAGAATCAGGCATAATGTAGTATCTGCTACCTCCTCTACACCATATCCTGGGACATTGCATACAGCAATACCTAGTTCACCTGCAGCCTACAGAAAAGCAACAAATTAACAATACAAAAAACATCTTAAGGGTAACCAGAAATGATATCTTGCTTTAATTTATTTGTTAAATAGTTTTTACATTACGATACTCTCATATTTCTTTGTCATACGCATTACATACTTATGCTTTCCAGATCACAATATTGTGTCACTATCAACATTTATTACTCATTACGAAATGTTATCGAGTAAAATATTCTAAAACTGTAATGCTTATTACAAAAACTCATACGAATGAAAATCATAAACTATGAGTAGCTTATGCACATACTCACACCCACAAAAGTCTGCTGTATTTTCTATTAATACGTGATCTGAAGTACTTCAAGATTTTCACGTGTGATTTAGTTGTAACCAAGTAGAAATGTTTGAGAAACACAGCATTATTTATTTCACAGCTACGTTAATAATTCATGCATGGCCCAAAGTACGAGACGACTATACACTGATCAAACAAAAGAAAATTCTTGCAGTTCTATGTCAATACAGAGCTAAACCAAAGAATTATCACCTCCTGTCTTCTGGACACATGGCACATTAATTCATGTTTTCAATTCCTTCAACTATAGAATTAGTGGCTTAACAACATTCAGTCCTCAAGATATAATAAAAACAAAGTCTTAAAGGAGCTACTACCTTAACATCTATGTTATCAACTCCGCTACCGATACGGACAATGATTCTCAGTGTCTTGAATTTCTCAAGATCTTCTTTTGTGAGAATAATTGTGTGCCACATGAGGGCTCCCACAGCTTCATTTAGGACCTGAAACATTATAATGCACATTATACATGAAGCTTAATTTGTGAATTCACGTACATCACTCCTTGTTAATCCTATAACAAACATTATCTACAATGAAATGATCTAGTTATACGGGGACATACGCACAAGGGATTAATTCAAACAGGCCACGTAAGACTCACTGTTTGACGTAGTAGAATTTTTAAACTACAAACATTATTAAAAATATATTAAAATTAACCGTCAATCACAATATAATATTATTAAAAAATTAAAATATCATTTTACGTTCCCTATCGAGTACTCGATTTACATGTGGAACATACACGACATGTTTCTGCTATATAAATAGCCATCATCAGGTGTTATGTATTAAAACTTTTCACTAAATTACTGATTTTTTACTGATTTTTAATGATTTTTAGTCTTCGTTTTTTCTTATAATGTTCTTGTCCTTTATATCTTACAAACATTAACTCAATCTGGATGTGGGACTGTCATATGACCACCTAAATCACATAAGTCAAATTCAGTCCAATGTTTGAAAACTTACACTCCAAGCCAACGTTGAACCGAGTCAAATAGTTTTATGAAGTATAAGCATATTAAGAAATGTTAGCGCAGTATGACAATTATGGCATATTTGCTATGTTATTGCCTCTTGATTTGAAATTTGTTGATGCTAACTTTTTATGTACACACAGGATGAGGGGGGGGGGGGGGGCCCAAAGACCAGCAGATATAGATGCATGCACGTGCACGCACATACACACACACACAGTGAATCCAACAGATGCATTTTGAAAAATTCTATTACGAATTGGAAAAAAACTAAAAGGATTAGATGCACATGTAATTCATGCCTGTTTGTTATTCTGCAATGCTGAAAAAAAACCCACGACAACTTAACTCAAGACTTAGAATATGAGTTATGAGTAATCCTTATAACACCAAAGACAGTACGAAAAGGTTAGAACACTATCCGGATGAAACAGAAACACTTAAATTTTACCAAATAAATGTTTATTTAATCAGTTTAATAATAATAAATGATCAGCATTAACATAATAAACAATTAACATTCTTTCAAATTAAAAGTTTGAATTTCTCAACTGAACATCATTCTAACCATTTGATAATAATATTTTTTTTATCTCTTTAAGTCAACAAACTAGCCTGTGCTCACAAATATATTTTATTTATATCACACTTTAAAGTACTTACCTACAATATGCTAACAATAAATCTGAAAATTAAGAACAGAATGTCACTGCAAAAAGATTGTTTTTTTCAGGAGTTATTAGTTACCACATAACGTTTTGAAGAGTTCTAATTTTTCTGCAATATGCATATTACACAAAATGCCATACAGGGCATTAGACCAGTGGGGAAACCTTAGTGTTTAGTATATCATCCCAGTATTCAAAGGTCCCCGGCTCCATCCTGTCACCATTATTACTATAAATTACACGTAAATAACGATCACTCAAAATAATGTCCGACACTACATAGTCTGAACTACTGAAAAAGCGTCATTAAATTAACTACAAATAATAAAATAATGACAACCACCTGAAGACAGGAGTACAGCCAGTTCCCAAAAACACTGTATCAAATATATCTCAATGGCAATGTCCAACTCAATATCTGATTAACTGGCTGCCACAAACCTTTGTAAAATGATAAATGTTCAATAACCTACATAAGTAACAAACAATGAGTGCAGGCTTTAGTGTGTGCATCTGAGCTTTAAGGTGCATCTTCCTTTTGGCTTAACTGTTTTGATGAGGACATATTTTTTTGACTTTCTACATCACCATCACAGATTCAGCAAAATCTACATCCCAATGAATAATTAATTACCATTTGTACAAATATTTTTATGTTTGGTAATCAGTATGAATTAACTCAGCCATAGAAAGTGTTCCTGAGTTTTGTGTGCATGCAAAGCATGTATCCCATTTCTTGTGTCTTTCTGTCGTATTAAACCCTATAAATTGTTCTGTATGTGTCCACCTTCATTAATTCTTTCATACAGACTGACAAACTCTTCTGTGATGAATCCACCAGAAGAACCAATAAATACAGTTTCAGAAATAATATAATACCAATCACACATTTGAAACCAATCAAAATTACTGTATTTGTAGTGTTTCCTCATCTTGCCACTATTAATTACTCACATAGAGTATCTACTGCAGCTCATACAGAGGGACACAGCCACGCCGCAAAGATGCAATCCGGAACAGACGCCATACAGCTCCTATGAAAATAACTTTCCGGGCCTCCAAAATGCTTCATCGCGGAAATGCATGTACCATAACTCAATAATTATAAATTATTTCTATCACACAGCAATTTGAATGTGTTAAAAAACACAAAGTGCATGCCAAAATTTCATAAAAGCACGAGGGCTAACGAGAGTTCTGTACTTAATTTGTCACCATTAACAAAATTCAGTATTTTGGGGGTGGGCTGCTGCTTACAAGTGGCTTATGCCAAAATGCATAAATGTCCTCAAAAATGGATCATACAAAGAATTACTATGCAACGCGGAAAATATCAATCTCATTACCACCCACAACGTTCTTCCAAAACTTGTTTACGATGATTATTTAATTAAATACAATGGATGCATGCCACTAACATTGGCAATTTATTAACACTTATTTCTGCTAGAAGGTGAAGATATTTGAAGTTTTATGCAACTTCCAAATTATAAAAACATCTCTCCCCAAATACTCATATGTACCCATTCCTGATATCTTCAGTCACGAGTGTTTGCTGAAATACAAAGGAAATATGTAGTCTAGTAGCAGTTTACGTGCATTTTGGAGGTACTTGCTGCCTCCAACATCAGAGCACCCAAATGATGGAGGAAGCAAGGACCTCTGTAATGTTAGAGAACTTCTACCCGACTACAAAGTGTTACAACTCAGAAAACAGCCATGGGAAGAAGGGAGTAGGACGATTCCTGAAATACTATTTATACTGCACACAATGGACAATATCCAACATAATCGTAGTGCAATGTATCAAACACCATCACAAACCTTTAGAGAATCATACACCTGTTCATACGGTCACCATTTTACATTTATTATACAATAATCTATTACCATATTATGAATGGGACACAACATTCCTCATTCCTCACCTTTTCATGAATTTCTGATGTGGACTGTGCGTCACAGAAGGCAACGGTGGCCACATCCTTTAAAATGGGCATTTCTATGGAGCAATCTCGTCCATCGAGTAATGCCACCAATGGTCTTGTCTGCATGGGGCCATTAGCGATGGGACCACGCAGGTTATCGATGCGAGGACGTTTTGACAACATCTTCCGTTTGTCCATTGGTGCGGTGATTAAAAAATGTTCTGACAGTTTTCAACAGAGGGAGAAAAATCTCTCTCACTGACACTACAACTTTCCTAGCTAAGCCGTTGTGACAGATTGTATGACAAATTAGCGCGAAGGAAAAACCTAGAGCACTTCTGCTGATTTGTCTTTCCAAGATAATCTTGTTCTTCAGATGAAGACAAGTTTAGGTCACACTTTCCAGGACACCTTCGGCTTCATCACGAAGTCCTGGCCGAGCCACCTGAAGAAGAAGGAAGAACAATGTTACAGTTTTTAAAACATGACTTTAACTCTCATAATTCATTATGAAATTAGAAATCCCAATGTGTAATAGATCCATGGGTTACAAATTCAACAGAACATCTTCCAGTTTGAGTGATGTTAATATGACCAAACCGAATATGACATAATTACTTTGCCAGACTTACGCAGCATATCTATATAGAAAAATACAACGGCACATAGTATGTATTTGCTTCTCAGACCTACGGCAATAACTTATGTAGCACTGCAACTAAAAAAAAATATTTAATAATCCTACCATGACTTTTCAGAGAAACATTTGTTTAATTAAAAGCAAAGCACTGATATGGTATGCTTACGTCTCGCTTGCCTCTTTACAAATTCAAAATTTCATAGCATAACAGCGATTAATAAATATGAATCCTTTCCTGGGTCAGCAACTACACTGCATTAATAGTAAGTCTGTTGAAAACCAAATGTGCTGTGGATTCATGAATCTAATTCTGCCTGACGTGGACTTCATCAAGGTGATGGGAGTAAGAACCAACTTATTGGTAATGACCATGCAGAAAATCAGTAACCTGGTACATCAACCACAGCTGAAGCATGTGTAAGAAAACAATTTGTCACAGTTTATCTAAAAAACATTATGGATTTTGGAACACACATCACAAAAAGCGTTCATTAAAATGGCAAAACTGGCCTTATGCCAGGCTATCAAGCCACACAAGAGTCTGAATCTCGACACTGGTCATGTCGGGCTGCTTTACTCTACGGCAGCAGTTCTTATACAGTGGTACTGGTACCCCTTGGGGGTTTCAGAGATGATTTCCGGGGGTACCACAAGTTCTCGTTCACATATTTACATCATTTATTAAATGCAAACTTTGAGAAATCCTGTGTCACAAACCATTTTAAAATTAACTTAGATTATAGGTTCTCAGCCAAACTAAGACCATGTTGAAAGATGTGAAAGTTCATCCTGTTATAACTATTCCCAAGTTTCTTTAGCATGGGGGCCAAACTTTTCATTTCTTCAGAGGCACCAGGCACAAAAACACCTGCTCTAGGGTCAAACATGATACCTACAGAACTGGAGACCACGTGGGTAATGGATGTGGCAGTAAAGAGAACAAAACTGGAGACATGTACTCCACTGAAGCACATAAATTATTTAAATACATCATTTTGTATGTATATAGGCTACTTCATCGGCCATACTGTTCATCAATACAGATATATATCCGTTATTGCAAAACACAAAGTCTTTTCTTTTCTACTTTTCTCGGTATTTTGTTAAATGCTCACCACACTGAAACATGTTTCAACCAATAGCAGTAGACTGTAATCTCCATGTCATCTCACGGATCAATTCATTCGTACCCTGGACCATTTTTAATCGACAGAATTTCATGTAAATTAGCTACGTTTGGCCAACAGTGCAAAGGCAAGCTCGTAGATGAAACAAGCGGTCAGACACGACTCTGCATCATAAACGTTATTCGTGGGGAGAACGAATACAACTACTTGCTGATCGCCTTTCCTCAATATTTTTTAACAACGAATCACTTGACCTCGGACAATAGTACTGCCATTTCCTTCGAACCGCCTACAAACGGGCTGAAAACTGAGGTTCATTCACAAAAACTCTGTGAAACTTTCTTCGCATGAAAACACGGCATACAATTGACTTTCTCCAAGTCGCCATTTTGCTACAAATACGACGAGAGCTAACAATTTGGCAACACTCAACAAAGCTTTCAGTTCTACCTCCATCTTAAACATTGCTCATTCCAAGCATAAACAATTCATAACAAAACTACGAAATGTGAAATCATAAAAATAACCCCCAGACGGTTATTTCAGTGAAATAATTCACATGTAGAACACTCCCACCTCATATCTCGCACAACTAAACCGCGTAATGGAAACAAGAATCATACTGCAATTGAAGAATCATAAGTATGTCAGCTCTGGAGTAAATGTGTCTGCAAGACAGTAGTACAGAACTTCCCGTTGGTTACCATGGTGACTCAAACGTTAGGTTTGTGCCTCGCTGGAAACAGACGTGGAGACTCCAACTTCGACCGAGTCCTGATGCCCTTCTCCTACCGCTCTCACTCAACAACTTTCTGCCGCCCCTCCAAATACACACACGTACTACCACAATAAAAACATACGATCTCCCTAGGAAAGTTGCCACAGAAGGACACTTCTAACTTCTTCGTCACTAGATGAAGGAGAGATTGTCTTAACTCCAGTGTACCCATTGGACACGTTGCTTGAGGCCCAGATTCGGGCTAGAAGTGGTAGCGAAGAGCCGGGACTCAAACCTAAGTCGTCCGGAGTGTAAGACAACTATACCAGCTCCCAACTCAAGTAAAGGTTCTTCCCAGAATTTTTTAAACGCGTAGCGAAAGTTGTCTCAACACAAGCACTTCGAATACAGCATTTCATCACCAAAACGGAATCTTTCGTGTTAAAATAAACATTAAAATTAATTTCGAGAAATAAGACAAAGGCGTGGACTAGCTATCAATTTCTCAAAATCTGCGACGGAGCGAAATCCTAAAAGTTCACGAAACGAAAAACAAATTTTCGGAAAAGTTCTCACAAATCACGTTCATTAATTATTTTTTCTAAAAATTTAACAAAAATAAAATTATACACTTCACTCACACTCGCGCGTGAGGGGTAATACTCTCGCTAAATCACGTGCAACGTTAAATAAATAAAGGCTATAAAACAGCAAAAGTACTTCGGTTGTAATATTTGAACTTGTAACCTCTTGACGATGGTGAAGAGTCAATTGAATAAAAATTTACTTGGATATTATCAATCGTCTAGTAAATATAAAACGTAAAACGACGTTTCGGAGATGGGACTC